TCCTTCCTTCCTTCCTTCCTTCCTTCCTTCCTTCCTTCCTTCCTTCCGCTCTCTCCCTTCTTTTCTCTTCTCCCTCCATTCTTTTCCCTCCCTCCCTCCCTCCCTTCCCCTTCCTTCCTTTATTTTTTATTTGATTTATTTATTTGATTTGTCAGTCACTTACAAGATAATAGTATGAACGTGAATAGGAATACAGGAAACAGGTACGAATCAATGGGGACAATAGGACAGGGACGGGAGGCACAATGGTGCGCTTATGCATGCCCCTTACAGACCTCTTAGGAAAGGGGTGAGGTCGTTATAGAATATAGAGTTTAATGCATAGATTATATAGATTTATACCTGATTTTCTTTTCTTTATATATATATATATATACACACACACACATACATACACACACACACACACACACATACATACACACATAGTTATTTAGTGCTAACTTTATACTTTTTGATTTACTGACCGATATATTTGAATTACTGATTTTATTAATATTAACGGATTACTAACTATTATTAATAATATTACTATTAACTGTCAAGTATTAACCGTATTTATCATATTGATTGTACTGTCAAGAAAGCGATGATGAAATGTATCAACTTTTTTTATAGATATATTTGTATAAATTTTCATATGTTAATTTTCAATAAAAGTTTTTTTATTTTTATTTTTTAAAAAAATGAAAGGGGTGAGGTCAATAGTGGATAGTTTAAGGTTAAAGTTTGGGGGGGGGGTTGAGGATGTAACAACGGAGTCAGGTGGTGCGTTCCAGGCATTGACCCCCCCTCTGTTGCTGAAGTCGTACTTCCTGCAGTCATAAATGCACTAGAACACATCACCATAAATGCACATAAATGCAATAGAACACAAATTATTATGCTCGGTTGTCTCTCGGCTCCATTCCCTCCTTGGCTCCTAGCTTGCCAAGGCAACATCTAAAAATCCCAGCCTTTTTTTTCCGTCCCTGCCGATGAAGATCACAAGGAAAGGGGGGAGGGGTGTTGTTTCGTTTTTGTTGCGTGTGGGTTGTTTTTTGTTTTTTTTTGTTTTGCTTGCTCTTGTCATGTGAGGCTTTCCTGGGCAGAGAGCCATTGTCCCCGAAGGTGTCGGGGAAGAAAAGGCCGGCGTGTTTTTCCTCGCTCTCAGCCAGCGGTGGAAGAAAAGAGACAGACCTGAAGAAAAAGATGACATTACACCTAGCTTGCTTGGTCTGCGGGAACATCGGTTTCTATTCTTGCGGTGGCTTTTTTTTTTTCCTCCTTCCCTCCCTCCCTCCCTCCCTCTTTACATAATAATCCAGCTTTCCCCTTTCTTGCCTCACCATGAATTTCCAGAGAGAGAGAGAGGAGAGGAAAAATAAGACTGGAGAGCACTCAGTTGCCAACGTTGCCATTTTGAAATCAATCCGGCATAGCAAGAGACCCACATTGCAAAGCACAAGAGAAAAGGGTTTTTTTCTCCCCCAAAATTAAAGGTTGGTCTGGTGCTAGCAGTCGGAATAAATAGATATTGCAGAGGGTGGTGAGCACAGCACAAACTATCGTGGGCTGTTCCCTGATACCACTAGATGACCTCGCTAGGGCTCGCTGCCTCAGAAGTGGAAGGAGATTAGAGAAGCATAGCCAGGCACACCAACAGGTTGAAGAACAATTTCTACCCATGGGCTGTCAAGACTCCTGAACGGAAAATAACTTTCATGTCAACATCGTATGATAGACTTGCGGGCTGGCATGTTATGCAACAAGGTCACATGGCATAATAAGATTGAGGCTGGGTTAGGGGCTTCGGTCCTCTCTGTGAGTTGTGTTAGGCGGGGGGGGGGGGCACGAAGGGAGGCTCAGCCACTCTCATTGTACACATGTTGTACTCTGACAATAAAGGTAATAATAAACTGGCCTTGAAGCATTAAGACCTTTTTCCTTGCCGCTGGATTTCATGCAACTGAGGCAGAAGGCCTGGGGCAGGATTATTTCTTGGGTTTAGAACGTGGGGCTTTGAAATGGGGGCAGGGGGTTCAGTATCCGTAGAAGAGAATATTTGTAACTCAGGGTTAAACTATGGGGGGGGTCTCTGGTGCTCTCCGAGCTGTGTTGGGTTTGCTTGCAAGACGTTTCATGACCCAACTAGGGTAACCTCATCCATGCAGTGATGTGAGGATCAGTGCACGGATGTTGTTACCTAGTTGGGTCATGAAACGTCTGCAAGAAAGCCAACAAGCTCAGAGAGCAAGGAGGACCCCACAGTTGAGTGTCTGCCAAACCAAGAAACATGATCTTATTTAGGAGTAGCAGCTTTCGGGTCAGAGTAGATGACCCAGAACAGTGACCCCAAGGACAGATTGGTCATAATGTTTCAGTGGATCTGCTCTAGAACCCTTCCCCTTCTTCTACCCTCTTCCTCTCCCTCCCTACCTCCCCTTTCCCTTCCCTCTTCTTCCTTTCCTTTCCTTTTTCTTTCCTTCTCTTTCTCTTCCTTTCCTTTCCTTTTCCTTTCCCCTTCCTTTCCTTTCTCTTTTCCATTCCTCCCCCTTCCTGAATGTTAAAGCCCAAGGATCATGCGCTGTTCCCCATCACCTTCTAACCAGCACATGTCCACCGATAGCGGCTTCGTTGCACCGCTGTGAGCCTACTTGGGAAGTAACCCAGCTTTCTGTGCCTTCTGAGAACAGTTGCGCCTCTTGTTCCAGTGACATGCAGCAGGAGGAGGATTCGCTCAAGCGCTGCGCATGGGGCATCTCTAGCATTCCTCCAGCAACACAGCTCCTGTGGGGTGAGGGCTTCTGGGAATTGTAGTCAGTTGACAACTTGGGGGACTGCAGCTTTCCTGTTCTTGAAGTAGAGGATTGTTGTGGTTAGCCAGCAGTAGGTGCGGACAGCTGAGGAGAGCGAGGATTCAGATGAGGGGCCAGGACCATTAGGGAGTGGACTGCTGCCTTCTGAGATTGTAGGGGCTGGCAGCAGCGATGAGGAGGTTCCCGAGGAGCCTGTGCCCAGTGCGTGTGCACACAGGATTGCTCGTAGGAAAGAGCAGTTACAACAGCACGGGCGACTCGGGAGTAAGGCTGCAAGGTAATGGCCCCTCCTTCAAGCAGATAAAGGCCAGGTGTGAAACGAATGTTCTTTGCAGAAGGCAAAAACGTTTTGAGACTCCAGCCTCGTGGACATTCCAGTATCCTGAGTTTGCATTTGAAGATTCTTGTATTGCAAATTCTTTCTTGTCTGTTATCTTTTGTCTCGCACAGTTCAGCAAGGCTTGTGCTCATCACAGCTAATCATTTTGCAGAAGCATTAAAAGGTTTCTGTTCCTTTTGGATTGTGTTGGATTTGTTGGAAAAGGGTGTGGGTCCGAACGGCCCAGTCTGGGTGATCTGACTAACCCTTCTGTGTCTTTAATTTGCAGGAGGCTGAACAGCACCCAAGGAGAAATCCGGGTTGGGCCCAGCCACCAGGTAAGGTTGCCCCGAGCATCGCATCACTGTGCAGTTTCTACACAAAAAGCCATTGCACCCATGGTAGCGTTTGAAGGAATAGAATAGAATATAGCAGCTTTTCCTTAGACTTTCTCAACTTGAAAAGTTTGCGTCAAGTGTCGGTGTGAAGGGAGGGGAGAAGTTCTCCGATTTATCTTCCTTCTTCTTTCCAGGCCAAGCTCCCTGAGCTGCAGCCCTTCCCTTCCGGAGATGGGGACGCGGTGACGCGTCACGAAGAGCTGGTCTGGATGCCCGGGGTGAACGATTGCGACCTGCTGATGTACCTGCGGGCGGCGAGGTAATCGCGAGTCAATCACGTTCGGAAATTGGCCCGCTGAGGACCTCGTGCAAACCCAAACCGACTGGGCGCTCTTCCTTTTCAAAGTTGGACCCCTGCTTGGCGCATCCGCGCACGAATGCACCTCCAAAGGAGCCACGTTTTCTTCAGATTAGGGAGGAAGCTTGGAAAGCCGGGATCCATTTTCAGAAAGGGAGCTGGGCCGCACTGGGGTGTCTCCAAGAGGCCAGCTTTTACCCCCTCCCCCCCCCCCAACCCTGACTGATTCGTTTCAGGAGTGGGCACTGTCTTAGCAATAGAGCGTAGACTTATATACCGCTTCGCAGAGCTTGACAGTCCCCTCAAAACAGTTTACAGAGTCAGCCTTTTGCCCCCCGACATTCCGGGTCCTCGTTTTACCCACCTCGGAAGGACGGGAGGCTGAGTCGACTTTGAGCTGATCAGGATCGAACTGCTGGCAGTGGGCAGAGTTAGCTTGCAATACTGCATTCTAACCACTGGGAATGAAGGAAGGAGGGAGGGAGAGAGGGAGTGAAGAAGGAAAGAAGATAGCAATAGCACTTAGACTTATATACCGGTTCACAGTGTTTTACAGCCCTCTTTAAGCAGTTTACAGAGTCAGCCTTTTGCAACAATCTGGGTCCCCAGAAGGATGGAAGCCTGAGTTGACCTTGAGCCAGTCAGGATCGAACTGATAGCAGTGGGCAGAGTTAGCTTGCAATACCACATCCTAAGCACTGGGAGGTAGAGAGGGAAGGAAGGAAGGAAGGAAGGAAGGAAGGAAGGAAGATAGCAATAGCACCTATATTTATATACTGCTTCACAGTGCTTTACAGCCCTCTCTAAGCAGTTTACAGAGTCAGCCTCTTGCCTCCAACAATCTGGGTCCTCATTTTATGAACTTGGAAGGATGGAAGGTTGAGTCAACTGTGAGCTACTGAGAATCAAACTCTAGGCTATGGGCAGAATTAGCCTGCAATACAGGCAGCCCTCAAATTACGAACACAATTGAGCCCCCAAATTTATGTCTCTTAGTTAAGCATTTGTTAAGTGAGTTTTGTCCCATTTTATGACTTTTTTTGCCACGGTTGTTAAGTGAATCTGCCATTGTTAAATGAGTAACACAGTGGTTAAGTGAATCTGGCTTCCCCGTGGAGTTTGCTCATCAAAAGGTTGTAAAAGGGGATCCTGGGACCCAGCCATGGTCGTAAGTATAAACCAGTTACCAAGCATCTGAATTTTGATCACATGCTCCTGCTACAAAGGTCGTAAGTAGGAATAACGGCCATAAGCCCCTTTTTCCAGCGCCGTTATAACTCTGAACAGTCACTAAATGAATTGTTGTAAGTTGAGGACTACCTGTACTGCATTGTAACCACTGCACTGCCGCTGCAGGGAGTCTCAACTTACAACAGTTCATACAGATTCCCTTAACGGTGGCAAAAAAAGGTCATAAAATCGGGAATGACTCAATTAAGCCCTGTCTCACTCAGCAACTGAAATTCTGTTCTCCGTTGTGGTCATAAATCGAGGATTACCTGTAATCCCTGCTTTAAGCTGGGTGGCTCAGCCTGGTGAAAAAAATATCCGTCAATGTTGTTTGGGCTCTGCTTGCTTCGCCTTGAAGACTGGTTGCAACCTGCTGAAATCCGAATTTCCTTTTTGGCCTCAAAGGAGCATGGCGGCTTTCGCAGGGATGTGCGACGGCGGTTCGACGGAAGATGGCTGTGTGGCGGCTTCCCGGGACGACACCACCCTCAACGCACTCAACACAGTAAGCCAACTTCCGCCTTTCCGGAAATAAACGTTTCAGACATTCTAACTGAGTTCCTCTGCTCCCCCCCCCCTCACATCCCAGGGTGTGTCAGCTTTAGAAGTCATATTAGGACCAGAAACTTCCACGCTGCCGCATTCTTGAGCCTGGGAAAATAAGAAGGGGGGAGGAATTTCTTGGAGTTTATATGGTTAGACATAATAACATTGTTTTTCTAATTCAAGGTCATGTTATTTCGGCACCTGGGTGAGGGGATGTCTCAAGTGATTGGGGCATGTGATGAAATGATGGGTGCAGGGGGTGGAATTGTAATATTTTACTTATTATTGATGGGAAACTCAGAACTTTCAGATTCGGGATTTCCGAGATGTGCCAGTTTACTACTCTAATAAAAGGAACCTTTGAGAAGATATCTCTCTCGGAGTTATTGGGGGGAGTTGAGGTTATCTGGAACGCTGACAGGCGTCAGTGTTCCAATCAACCAACTCCAAACCGATAAACACTGAGACAATAATTTCCTCAAGGTTCCATTTTATTAGAGTTGTCATATTGGCACATTTGGGAAAACCCAAATCCAAGCGCTCTGGGTTTTCCCTTCCCAAAAGAGAAATCAAAGATCCATCCGCTGCATCCATCAGTCCATCACATGGCCCAATCATATCTTGACATCCCTCCAGACCAGAGGTCTCCAAACTTGGCAACTCTAAGACTTGTGGACTTCAACTCCCAGAATTCTCCAGCCAGCATAGCTGAGCATTGAAGCCCACAAGTCTTAAGGTTGCCAAGTTTGGGGACCCCTGCTCCAGACATACCTCTTCAGGTGCAGGGCCACTTGTCCTCGACTCTCTGAGAAAGGAATGTTGTTGTGTCTAACCTTCTACTTCACTAGGAAATCCTCCCCTCCCAGATTCCCAGGCCCTGAATGGGGCAGCCTCGAAGCTTTCAAGTAACAAAATGGTTTCCAAGGCTGACACCAGGCTTCTTTGCAGCTTTTTAATTGGCCGGCCCCTGCTCTTGTGTGGGACAAGAAGTCCCTGACTTCTCGGGAACTGAAATTGAGAGTTCAGTAACTTGATCACACTCTGGATTATCCCCTCTTAGGCGGTGCATTTTTCGCCTTGGGAATTGGGTTCTTTCGCTTAGGGGGCGGCTCGTGAATCCTCAGAAAAATAATCCCAAAATTATCTTTCTTTTCTGAATAGTTAGACCCAGCAGTTCGGTTAAGCCAGACCAGCTCACAGACCTGGCTCAAACTTGGGGTCAGGGAAGAAAAGCCTTCCATGTTCAAAATGTGGGGATAGGTTTTCCCAGGGTGAATAGAATAGAAGAATAGAATAGAATAGGATAGGATAGGATAGGATAGGATAGGATAGAATAGAATAGAATAGAATAGAATAGAATAGAATAGAATAGAAT